CGCCCCCGCGGCTGTCGCACCGCCCCCCGTATCGTGCTGTGATTTTATTTAAAAAAAAAACATTGCGTAAGAACAGTACAATAGGAAAAATAGTATTAAGTGACAAGTGAAAACTTTCTAGTCTTCTACAACTCTAGTCGTTTGTGTTTATTTTAAGTAATTAATTTGTTTTAATAAAGTAATGATAGCGAATGTAACTTATCAGCTGAGAGGGCAAATGTATGGAAAATAAAATATTTGTTAATTATAAAAGACTTTTATATATGGATTTGTTTAATGACATATTGGTGACGGGAATGTAGAAACATGCTCTTATGAATCCTTTACAACAATAAAGTATTTAAATTTTAATGAAGATTTTGTTATGTTGTGATAAATATAGAAACTACAGCAGCCTGAGGTCTACATTCCAGACATAGTTGTATGTGTGTCACATCTCGTAGGTTTGTCTGTTTGTATGTGACAAGTGTCGCATTATTTTAAGATAAAAGTTAAAAAAACCTACTAGATGTACTTAAATGACATTAATTAATGTGCTTACAATAAGTTGAAATTAATTTTCTCATTAAGAGGAAACAATCACATTGCACAGATACACATTTACTGAATATCTGTGCGTTATTTTTAATTTTTTTTCAAGTATTTAATGTATTAATGTAGGAATTATCTTTCTTTCCTCTAGTCTCTGTAATGTGATATAGAATTGAATTTATTTTGATGGATTTTATCATAACTTATACGTTTGGACGCGCTAGCTGCGTCCTCACTGCAAACACAAGATGTGCAACATGTCTTAAGTTTACAAATGTATCTCGATTTCGTTCTCGTCTGTGAATGTTCCCTTGTCACGTCACGTCGCGTCACGTCACGTCACGTCACGTCGCGTCGCGTCACGTCACGTCGCGTCACGTCACGTCACGTCACGTCGCGAGTTGTCACAAGTAGTTTATTGCAACTGAATAACCTCAATACTGTGATTTATATGTGAATCTGAGGAGTATTGTTTAATAAATACAAAAGGTGAAAGAGCGGCAAGAGCTATGCAGTTTTATATTTGTTGTTACACGTTAAGACTCGCGTGTCATAGAGTGTGTCATGTGTGTCATAGACTGACTTGAAGCGGTCGTACTGCCACCAGTTTCGTATGTCTAACACATTGTACTAAACCATTTATTGTATGTAAATTACTCATTCTGCTAATTGTTTTTGTGAAAGTATTCATTTGAATATAAGACATTTATTTACATTAAAAATATATCTTAATTATGTTTTTTGTATCGATGTGTGCGTGTGTGTAAATACAATTATGTTATATCAGAAGGAAATGTTGAATATTTTTAACAAATATCAACTGACTGACCATTGGTTGATTTACTTTATCATAGTGAATTTATTTTTTCCATCAAACCCAATAAACAACCTCGAACCAGGGATATTTATGTTTATGACTTGATTTATCATTAGAATGCAATCTATACAATTTGGTATAACCTATTATATAGAGGATTTAATATGATCTAGTTTGAATTGAATCTCAGTCCAAGGATGCATTATTCAGTTCGACAGTGGCTATGGAGATTTTTAAATATGTTGGCGGCTCAGAGCTTTGTTAACAGTCGTTGCGCA